CTGAAAAATAATTATTGACAATCTGAGTGTTCGATTTACCGAAAGGCCCTGCAGCCAAAAGCTAACAAGTATGTTTAATAATATGTTTTAAAATGGTGGGGGGGGGGGGGGGGGGGGGGGAGCATGGGGGAAGAGCAGTCATGTGTTACAAAGGGAAGGGGGTACCGCCGCCCTAGGGGGAGTGAGTGCGTTTCAAAGGGAAGGGGAGCAGCCATTAGAAGGTAGCAGACGATTCAAAGTAAAATGAGTTTAAAAAAAAAAAAACTTTTTTCACGTCAGAAGCACACAGAGAATAGGATGCTAGGCTCAACATTTTATAGATCAACTAGCACTCGGTAGGTGGTGTGGCCGACATCACGCCGGTCGCCCTCACTTCCCAGGAACTTATCTGGTTCCTTGATTAATCTGGTCAACCTGGTAGCTAAGATCTGTCACGGACCAGACTGGAACGTCGCTCTCGTCACGGTACGCCTGTAAGTCTCTCTGTCTTTAGCAAATTCACCAAACCTTTGCACTTTCATACGCAATTCATCTTCAATGTTTTGTATCCACGTTTGTCGTGGTCGGATTCTTCCAACCCCCCCCCCCCCCCCCCCCCCCCCCCCCAACCCAACTAAAATGATATTTAACGTGTCTAAAACACTTTAGCTTTCGGAATAGAATTATGTTTATGAGCCAGTTCTCCTGGATGTTCAGATCATGAAGGATGTTAATGTTTTTCTTCTTTTTGTCTGTCGTATTTTCCTTCGTTAATAGTTGAAGAAGAGTCCACGGCTAAAGTCCAAAAGTATCCACGGGAGAAATACGTGATCTAAAATTATATTTTTTTTTACCTTTAACTAATTCGTTTTGGAGTTGTGTTGACACACTCTGGGAGTTGCTTCTTTAGCAGCTTGAATAATACTTCATTTGAAATATTGTAACATAGCACAGATGTCCCTATTCTGTACCTGAGAGCATGTTGCGACGACTGGGTCTGTATTAACTGGACAGCCCACATAAGCATATGGATGCTTGCCTGAATGAGTACGGTAACTTTTTCTGACCGCTATTTATTCCAAATGATTTTTTTTTTTAATTATGCCACACCTGTTTATGTTTCATTCATGTTTTTCTAATAAAGCCATTGGAATGGATTTAAAATGAACGCTCTACACACGCATATATATATATATATATATATATATATATATATATATATATATATATATATATATATATATATATATACTGAATAGATATATATTTTAAATAATATAGGATGCTTAAATAAAGGCTTGAAATGAGAACTTCTATACATGGCTAGGGGTATGGGCGCTTTTTTACACATGAAGGGGAGGGGGCACTCAAGGTGCATGAGCCCACGATTCCGCCGCATATGTTGTGACCAACTTTCCTTAACTAACCTCTTCCATTTCCTATGTATTAGACACCTTGGAAATGGAACTATAACCGTTACATCATCACATCTCTAGGGAACTATCCACATAAGCACTAGGAAATGCCAGGATTCATTCTAAGATCACTTCCTTCTGTTATTGACCATTAGCAAAGTGAACGACTTCCTGCAGAAACCGTTCAACGGGGAAAGTTAATGTAAAAGAAATGAGAAATATGTGTCCAGGGGGTTACGGCCTGGGGAATGGAGACTTATCAAAGCAAAGGCAAAGTTGCATCTTATGGATTATACATTTATTAAACCAACGTGCGTCGATTTCTAAAATTTATCATACTTTTACTCGAATGTAAAAGTATAACTACAGCCAGCTGGTTGTCGGAAATATAAGCAAAAGCAAGCATCTTATTTAGCGAGATATAGGCGATAATTATGGATTATGTCTTTCCCTAACTCTTAACTCTTTCAGTAAAGAGCAACTCACCACATTTCTGAAAATGTGTTTAACTTTCTAGTTTGCTAAAGTTGGCGCACCCCTCCCCCACCCCCACACACACACCTTGGAGCAGCGCTATAGGAGACGGCAGTAGATACAAGTAATCTGGTAATCTTAGTTTCAGCTTCACAGCAAACGGGTCACCATATAGTTGCTCCGCCCCTGTGCCAACGAAAAACACACAGAACGTTTATCACAGTCCCTTGTGGAAAGATTGACAGACTGCTGTCTCAGAATATCTAGCATACACGTGCATTAAAAGCACACGGTAGCCATCAGAAGTGTTAACACAAACAGTCCGACATCAGAAATGCAGTTCATCATTGATTTTAACAGAAGTCACCAACAGATCAGCAGTTGCACACGCGATCAATTTTAATCACATAATGGCACCACCAATATTGCGAAAACAGGCATCGCGCCATTTTCCGAATCTACAATTCACACCACGCGCACACCACCACGTCAATCACAGTCGAAAAACATTCAAAATGAAATCCGCAGCTCACAGTGTCACGCCATGCACTCAACTTAGAAGCTAGGCGACGAAACTTTATCCTTTCAGTCAACAAACGGAGCAAAAATGCAACGGTCACCGACTGGCAAAAGAAAAAAAAAATTGCCAAAGCTCAAAACAGTGTACGTGCCTAGTGTCCATTTAGACCGGAAATTGAGGGTACAAATAAGAATGGGTGGTGGTGGCGGCGGCGGGAGCGTGAAATAAAATAATGATTCTGGGAGCCTTACACAAATATATCTATATATATTGTTTGTTTGTTTGTTTGTTTGTTTTAGTATCCAGAAGCCATGAGTTGTTAACCCTTAGGCTCGGTATTATGGATATCCCAACCTTTCGGCCTTGATTCCATTGTAAATACCGTAAATCTGGGAGAAAATATGGCTTTCCTGCCTACCCCCGGGATTGAACCCGGACCACAAGGAGTACGTCACCCGGTCTCCGCGAAATCCGGTTTAGCCAATTCCGCTAGAGAGCCGGGCATATATATATATATATATATATATATATATATATATATATATATATATATATATATATATAGAAATATATATAATATATATATATATATATATATATATATATATATATATATATATATATATATATATATATATATAATTATATATATATATATATATATATTCGAATATACTTTTGTGAAAAAACCTTTGACACTGTTTTAACTATTGTTTACAAATAAATCATATTAGTAGTGATTACGTAAATGTCTAAACACATCACACATACACTCTCTCTGTCTCTGTCTGTATCTCTGTCTGTATCTCTGTCTCTGTCTCTCTCCCCCCCCCCCTCTCTCTCTCTCTCTCATATGTAAGTTTTAATTGCCAAATAGCAAAGTCCGCATATTGCGGTAAACATTAACCAAAAAATAGTAATGGCTCGTACAACAAAGATTAACCGTTAAAATGTATTAACATCTATTAAAATCGTCTGTGTTTACAAGTAAATATTGTGTATGTTCTCAAGGAAACACAATTAAACCAGGAAAAACTAAAAATAATTTCTAATGGATTTTAATTCCCCCAATGTTTTGTTTGTTTCGAAAATAATTTCTTAATGTGAAGTGGATTCATGATGCGCATTGCCAGATATTCTACCGTCTATTAAAAAGTATCACCATATATTAGCGTTGATCACACAATCATCCGCAGCCTAGCTGAAGTATTTTTTTTTTAAATTATATATATATATATATATATATATATATATATATATATATATATATATATATATATATTGGCTCTGTGGCTAAGTCGATGCGAACGCTTCGTAATGCCGGGGTGCCGGTTTCGATCCCAGCTGCGGGCCATGCGCCTTGCGTTGGTTTCGACAGTGGTATCAAGAAGCCGACCGTCTAGAAAGCAATGGCAAACTACTAGACGTAAATTTTTCTAGAGAAAGCACACAACAGCCAGGGGCTGCTGTGGCTGGTTCTCCAACGTCCTGTAAAGGATACGCAACTAACCTTTTATATATATATATATATATTTCCGGTGTAACCATGTTTTTGCATAGACCGTGTCCCTCACTTGACAAGTTTTCGTATTACTTTATGAAAAATATGTTATGCTGAGCTGCCAGCCACAAATGCTGTGTTCATTTCATCACAGGTGAATCTTCCTCCCGTGTTAGCACCGTATTTCGCCAGGGACAATGCAGCCGTGCTAATGGTCTTAGGAACAACGACAGCTGTAACTCAGTGGTTGAATATGGCTTGGGACTGCTTATCGTCTCTAAGAGTTAGATGGACAAACTAAAGCGCATACAAAACGCGGTTCTCCGGGTCATTCTGGGTTGCACCAGAGATACCTCAGTAGTGTGTATGCGATACATCCTTGGTTTGCCGACGGTTGCAGGTAGGCACAAGGTGCTGCAGGCGAAGTCATATCTCAGGGTAGCTGCAGACACAGACCACCCTTTGCATCATGAGCTCTGGGTGCAGTTAAGGGCCACTCAGCGGAATGTGAAATAAGAGGGAAGTGCCATGGAGGTGGGCAGCTTTTCGCTGGCTTGAGAACACGACACATACACACATTGTGATTGTAACTGACTCAGAAAGCATGCTGAGGAAGATTAGAACAGGTATGCTTCGTGCAGAGTGGCATGCTTCGCTGCGGAGGACACAGGTGAGAAGTATTGTCTGGATTTTTTCACATGGTACGCCGGTGTGTTGGGAAATGAACAGGCGGACAGACTGGCTGGCTCTGCACAACTTGGTGGAATACTGATACATGATAAGGCAGACGTGGTTAGTGCCTTGTGTTAGAGCGTGTACAGTTCGGAGGAGCAGATGGATCACCACAGTCTGGTGAGATTCATGCAAAGGGGAAAAAAAAGGGGGGGGGGGGTGACGAGAGGTTCTGGCAGATGCTCAAGGCTCAGAGGAAAGGCAAGACGGACGTTTAATCAGAATGCTACTGGCACCATTAGTATCGGAACTCTTCGCTGGCTGCTGAAGATGGGGACGGAGCGCTTATGGGAATGCCCCGAGTGCTGTGATGTCGGTTCTTGAATCAAATCAAATAAAATAAAATCACAGCTGTAACTGTAAAGCACTATGCGGGATT